TGAACCACCCTTTCTTTTCTTTTAGATAGAATTGGTCTTGAGTCTTACAGCTCTACCAATCGAACCACCCTTTTCTTATTTCAATACTTTTTATTTTTAGATAGAATTGGTCTTGAGTCTTACAGCTCTACCAATCAAACCACCCTTTTCTTAATTCAATACTTTTTATCTTTAGAAGAATTGGTCTTGAGCCTTACAGCTCTACCAATCGAACCACCCTTTTCATATTTCAATACTTTTTATCTTTAGATATAATTGGTCTTGAGTCTTGCAGCTCTACCAATCGAACCACTTTTCAATTCAATTAGTTACTTTATCTAGAATTTCTGATTTCCTTTACTTTTTTTCTTTTGTTTGATGAATACTTTATTTCAATTATTAACAGCTTATGCATTCTATATTTAAACTAGATGAAAAAATAATACAGGAAAATTGAACAGAGATTCAATTAAATATCAAGGGACATTGAACGTTTTTAGAAGTAGAAAAAATATATAATTGCAACCGAGAGAATCGCTGGTATTAAAAAAAATTTTGGTTAAATAGTACTTTTTCGTAGATGATCTAACACAAAACCGACCAAATATATTTGATTGATTTTAAAGAACAAATACTGCAAAGTTTTGAACGATTAGAAATTATTGACATGAAACTAGATAGTATTAATGAAAAATATTATTCGATTGTTGAGAACCCAGTTTCCGCCTCTCTCATTAAATCTATAAATACCTTTACAAAAGAAATTTGTAGGTGTAAATGTAGAAAAAATGACAGAAAAAGCATTTCACATAGAGGTGTTATATCCTCTATTCCGAGAACTATTTTTTGATCTGAAATATGTTAAATATAAGATGTATCTATCTATTTATTTTTACTTATTGACACAGAATCTGTATCTAAATCTGATTACTTTTTACGATACAAAATTTGATTGATATAGGAATGAATCTTTTACAGATTCAAGCCAAAAAGCAATAGAAAAAACATCTAGCTCATTATCATCACGTTTGTCATCACCATGTTCATACATTCATTATCTCCATGCAACGTCTACAATTATAATAGTGAATTGGAGAAATATGTATTTGTTAATCTGAATGCCAACTATTTTTCTAATGAAACTGACAACCCAAGTAATGGAATACGCCCAGATGGTCAATTTATATGCGCAAGCATATCTTACCGATTTACAATGGACGTAGGAGCTCTTGAATTGAGTAAACCTGTGAATTCATTCCTCAATAAGAAACAAAAAGATAGACCAAAGCTTATATTAGCAATGCTGATGTTCGGGGCTAATGTTCATGACAAATTTGATCCTACATATATGTCACAATCTATTCAAAAATTGCTTTAAAATATTGGATATGTTACTTTGCAAGTGCATAACGAAAAATTAATCGTACATGAGTATGATTTCACTTATAGTCCTATAAAGGTGAGAGAAATATCAGTTGATGTCTCGATTCTAGTTCGGGCCTACAGTTAGAGTTGGATCAACGTTGAGTTATTAGTTAAATTTATTGCTGAAATTAAAAAAATTACGAAGGTATTTAGAGGGATCGATGCTAATTTTGAAATATTAGCCAATCGTCTTGATATTGAAGCCCCATTAGACCCATTAATTAGAAAAGAAGAATTTTATCAAAAATTTATTCATTTCAAATTATCTGAAATATTGGCGCGCTGGTCAGCCATTTCAGAATACTATTAATGTAAATAAGAGTTTCATATGTTTTTTTTTTTTTTTTGATATTCGCATCTTTCTATAATTTAATAAATGTTGCGACTAAGCTAGATTTTTTTTATAAAATAAATTATATAAATTTATTAAAAAAATATTATAGATTTTTAAGTATTTATTGGCAACTTTAGAAATAGATTCTTTTGATTTTATAGTATACTGTTGAGAATTTTCTTCAAATTTAATTTTTAAAGACTAGACCATTTGACTTATATTCAATTTCTATTCTACTGTATGTTTCAATTTTTCTCTTCCCCAACTAGTTTTAACTAAGTATTCATCTGGAATTTTATATTGAACTTTAATGCTACTATGAGTTGAAGTATAATGTAGTGTATTTTTTTGAGAATAATATCCTTCATTAATTATATTATATGTAGATTTGGTATGGTTTTGTTTAAGTGAAAATGAATTATTTTTGGAATATTTAATTTTTTCAAGAAACATAGTTTAAGATAAAATACATGTTTTAAAAATATTACATTTTATTATCATTATATGCTTATTAATTACATATTAATAAAAATTTAATTAATATCCAAAACAGAAAGTTAATTAGGTTTCTTTAAGTATTTAAATATTTAAAGTATTGCACAAGTATTTAAGTATTTAAGTATTTAAAATGTTGCACAAGTATTTAAGTATTTTTTTTCTTTAATTTCTCAATTATCAAGAAAATTAAGAAAATTATTATTTAAGCTAAATTAGATTATACAAACTTAATAAATGAGTTCTTATAATATAAAATTTTTAAAAATAACCTGACGACTCAGCTTTTATTTTATTTTTAAAAAAAAAACTTACTCAAATAGTAAATATACTTAAAATTTTTTTTAAGGTTTGTAAATTTCAACCCAGCTGAGTTATAAGAACTAATTTATTAAGTTTGTATAGTTTTATTTAAACAAATTTATTTCTTTTATCTTAAATAAAATAATATATATATATATAATATCATTAATAATGAATATTATTAATAAAAAAAAAGCATAGTATGTTTAATAGAAAAATGTTTATATTAATTCATTATTTTATTTACTACTTAATAATCACTAACATATTTATGATTTTTTTTACAATTATATAATGCTATCCTTTAATCTATAAGCTTTTCTAGGCAAATTTGTCCAAAAAATTATTAAAAATATGCTTATAATCTATATTTTTTAAATTTTAAAATATTTAAATAAAATTTTATTTAATAATAGTTAAAAATAAGGATTATATTATAGCAGTATTTAATTTTATATTATAAGAAAAAAATTATATATTACTTATAAACTAAAAATAGTCAAATTTAAAAAAAATTTTAATTAAAAAAATTATTTACAAATTTTTGGCAAACTCTTTAAATATTAATTTTAAGATTATAGTTCTAATACAATATTTTAGTTTATATAAAGAATGATAACTTTTATTAATAATATTTTTACAATTTACTTATAAAAATTTAGACTTGTACAAAGTATAAAAATTTTTTTAGTTTCAAAAATATATGAAATTTTAAAAAATCTTAAAAAATTTTTAATAGTAAAAATTTTTAAATATAATTTTTAAAATTTTAATACATAAAAGTTTATTAATATTTTGAAAAAAGTTTTATAATGAAGTTTATAAAATATGTTTTTAAGAATATATTTTATAAGCAAAATATATTCTATATTATTAATAAATTATTAATTTATTTAACAAATACTAAATACAATTTAATTTTTTAGGTTAATTTGTCTAAAATACAGTTTAAGAGATAAGATATTTATTATGTTTCAAAATATTTTAAATTACTCTTGGTTTATTAAAAAAACAGCATATTATTTTTTTATTTAAAAAAAAAAATTATTGATTTATAACCAAGTTATTAGTTTTGTAATATAAATTAAATAAATGCAAATTGTTGAACTTATTATAGTTATTCATCAAAAAATATATAAGTAGCAATTAATAATACAGAAATAATTAAAAAATTTAGATTTTCAAAAATAAAAACCAGAAAATTTGATTTTGTAAAAAAATTTGTAACTAATTTTTTACAATTTATGAAGATATGAATTGTGAAAAGTTAGTTATAAAATTTTTTTATAAAGTCAAATTTTCTTATTTTTACTATTAAGAACTTATATCCCTTAGATTGTAACACAAGCAAATTTGTCTGCATTAATTTTTTTAAAATTAATTTTTATAATAAAATTTTAATAATTAATTTT